AAACAACCTAAATACGTATCAGTTGAGGAATGATTAAATAAATTATGGCACATTCACACTATGAATACTATACAGCCATTAAATATAAAGGAGATGTATAGTTACCCATATGGAAAGGTATCTATGATATGAAGTGAAAAAAAGCAAGAATTATAGAATTATATAGGTAAAGTAGCACCCTATTTATATTAAGAAAAACCTGATGTATGAAATATGCAGATGTCTAAAAAAAGGTAAATGTCTAGAAAAGATCTAGGAGAATACACTTGGAACTGTTCACAGTGAATACCTTTGAGTGTGGGTTGGAGGCAAGTGGTAAAGCTTAAATTATATACTTAGATATTGTTTCAATTTATTATAAGGATATGCATTACTCTTACATTTTATTTCACAAAACATTTTAGACTTGCATAGTGCCACAATGAATAATATAACAAACACCTACGTACCTCTAGAAATAAAACCAACACAGTGGAAGCTTCTTGTGTAACCTTCTCCCATCACATCCCTTCTTTCTCAGAGGTTACAACGACCCTGAATCTAGTGCTTCTTATTCTCATGATGTCATACTTGTACGAAATATGTACATATTCCTAAACAGAACGCAGTGCATTTTTTTCATATTTTAAGATTGTATATAATTGGTATTCTACTGTATGTTATCCTCTGTAACTTAATTTTTCACCCAACATGATGTTTTTAATTTACGTGTTGATGCAGATACTTTAGTTAGTTCCCTTTCACTGCTATATAACAGTCCACTTATAAATGTTCTGCAGTCTATTCATCCTCTTGTTTTGTGATTTTGGATTGTTTCCAGCATTTTACTGTCTAGAACAGTGGTGCTGTGAACAGTGGTGCTGGGCACATCTCCTTCTGTACTATGGTTTCTTGAGTCTGAGTGTGTATCCAGAAGTGGAATCAGGTCGTAGGGTATGTGCTTCTTGAGCTCCACAAGATGGGGCAAAATGCTTTCCTAAATGATTGTACCAATTAACAACCCCACCAACAGTATGTAGATTTTCTTGCTCTAAAAAATTCCTTACCCATTTAGAGAACAGACATTTATCTATATTATCTTCTAATTTTTGTTTTATTTTTCTTTTACATTACATTCTTTAATTGAGCTTAAATTAAATTAATTTGGGTATATGGTGTGAAATGGAAACCTAAATTGATATTTTTAATAAGTAACCCATTTTCCCACCACCGTTTATTCATTATGCTTTTAAATCTTTTTCTTATTGTCACCTGATGATTCATCTGGTCGAATTCCAGTATCATTTTATAGACTTCTCCTAAACAAGCCATAGAGATTTTATTGTAATTGCATTAGGTTCATGAATTATTTGGGTATAAAACACACATTCAAACAGCTCATTTCCCTATTCTCACATTAAAATGACTAAAATCCAATACCCTCAGCCTGCTACTGAAGTACCTTCATTATCTGTACCCTTTTTCATCTTTCAGGCTCATCATTTTAAGCAGGCCAGTGTCCTCCTTGTCCTCTAAGCTTTCCTTATTTATTTTTTCCCACAAACTTTGCTCACGAGGTTCCCTCCCACATTCCATTCCCCTTGCTTTGTTTATTCAAATCTTTTCCTTCCTTCAAGGGCTGGCTGGAGTCCTACTTACTCAAAGAGTCCTAGTCAGGACTTAGCCCACCAACTTGCATTGCTATTCAATTTTCTTATGTATCTGTATTTAATCTCTCCAATTCTATGATTGAGTTAACTAAAATAAGAAAATCAAGACAAGTGGAACTTGCCTAGAGAACAGTAAGATAAGTTGCTGGTAGGAGGATCAACAACCAGGTTAAGCATTCCACTTTTAACATCTGTAACTTTGAAGTGGAGAAAATAGCAGGAAAAATGAAAAGCTGGAGTTGGTGCCTCAATATGCCCCCTGCCTGAATGTGGCCAGAAACAAGAGTAGTGAAGCCAGATAATAGAAAAATCCATCATCATCACCATCAAAATGCCTTACATTTGAATAGTGCTAAGGGTCTGCCGACTTGCACACCCATCTTCTCATTTAACCCTTACGAAATTCTTTGAAGTAGGTGACATGATCTCCATTTTACCAGTGAGGACACAGAGGATTAGAGGTTAAATGCAAGCCCAAGGTCACACAGCTAGGAACTGGCAGTGCCAAGCCTGCAACCCCAATCTTCTAATCGACCTCAATTTAACACTCATTCCATCATACCCACAGTTGCTTCCATGTTAACCATGTTAGCTTTTTAATGTTTTAATTTTATTTTTAATTGTGGCAAAAACATGTAATGTTAAAATTTCTCTTTTAAATTAAAATCTTTAAATGTACTGTTCAATAGTGAACTATATTCACATTGTTCTGTAACAAATTTCTAAAATTGTTTTTATCTTACAAAACTGAACCTCTACAGCCATCAAACAATAATTGCCCATCTCTCCCTCCCATCCCCCAGGCTCTGACAATCATCATTCCACTTTCTAGTCCCATGATTTTGACTACTCTAGATATTTCATTTAAGCAGAATCATGCAGTATTTGTCCTTTTGTGACTGGTTTATTTCATTCAGTATCCTCAAGGATCATCCATATGGTAGCATATGACAAGATTTTCTTCTTTTTTAAGGCTGAATAATATTTCATTCTATGTATATGCCACATTTTCTTTATCCATTCACCTGTCCATGGACATTTGGGCTGCTTTTACCTCTTGGCAATTGTGTAATGCTGCACTGAACATGGACGTGCAAATAACTCTCCAAGATTCTGCTTTCGATTCTTTTGTATATATACCCAGAAGTGGGATTGCTGGATCATATGGTAATTCTATACTCAGTTTTTTTTAGGAACCATATTAACTTTTAAACAGATAGCCCCATTCTCATGGACTCTACTGCAATATGTTAAGAGGCAGCATATTGCCTTCTCTCTTAATTAAATGAAGTTAGCAATCATGCTCACATATAACCATTAAAATATGTTTAATCTTCTTACTTAAGATGCACTAATTACAATGTTGGCAACTGTAGACGCTTCCATTTTCTTTCAGTCTCAGTTAACAAGCTGTTCTTCACTTTTAACACCCCCTCCCAACCCAAAATCAGGGTCACTAGATCAGAAGATTCATGACAGAAAGACCTATTAATACTATGCCTCAAGTAACTAGCGCAATGGCTGGCATGTAATAAGCACTCAAAAAATGGATAAATGAATGAGTGAGTGCATGAATAAAAAGACCATATTGCTGGCTACAGTTTAAAAAATTGAACTTAAACACAGAAGTGGGTGCTGTCATTGATGAGAGGGAATAGTTTAGCACTTCTTATTACAGCAAGCAGGAAGTAGGACACAGATGGCAAAGAGACATTCAATGACATGAATTTTGCCAGAATAATGATACCATCCCTAGGATAAATTCAGACTAAAGCTCTGATAGTAGCAAAAGATCATACCAACCATGTGGATTTGGGGAGCTTGGGGAAGGAAGCCTTGGGATTATAATAAGGTCCTACTGGATTAATGGGACAATGCTCCAGGTAGGAAAAGCCAAGAGAAAGTGCTAATAGTACAGGACTGTATTTCCCTTCTTTTCTTCCAGACCCCACGGATCCTTGACAGAAGGCATTGGAAGCAAATGCATTGTCACATCGAGAGAAGTTCTCTGCTGACCAGCTTGCTGCACAGTACACTGAATGATGACCTCTAAATAGGGATGTGTGTGGAAGCAGAGAGAGGAGTTAGCACCCTGAGGGGAGATATTGTCTCATGGAAAAGGTAAGCTCTCTTGCTAAGGGCTGCTGTCCATACACCTTTGGACTTATTATACAAACTTATAAAAGGAACTGGAGAAAATGAGATTACACTGTAATGATAAAAATTAAATTTAGGCTTAACACAAATTGCATGAATTTTTAAAGGATACAGACCCTAGAACAAATTGTTCGGTGGAAATTATGCTTTGTACATACCTGAAGAATGAATTGTAAACTCTTTTCCATTCAAATAAGGAGACAGAATTCAAGAGAAAGATATCTTCTAATAGGCATATCCCCCAAAAGAGATAAAAGACAAGGTTAGATTGATTAGTGATTATGTGAAATATTTTCCCATTCTCTTAGTGAAGAATTTAAATTCATACTAGCAGATTAATATAATAAATTGTGGGACCTCTTATATATTGCTATAGTCAGCATGGTTTAGCTCTCTCACACACAAACACAACTGCAGCTCTCTTTCAATAAACATAAAAATTTCATGGCTCACGTAGATTCTGATACTGCCCCTACATCTATCTTAACATTCAATGTACCAGTCCTGCCAGCCACTACTGCCTCACCCAAAGATCATGATATACCACACCTATAAGAGACATAGCCCTCCTCCTCTCTCCTGGCCTACTCAGTTGATAAGATGAGATAAATATTGGGCTTGGCACTGTAGTAGATGATGCTAGAGATAATTATATGATGCACAGAGTCCAAAAGTAAGAGAGAAGAGGAAATGATTCATTCTGTTCTTAGGCAAGGGGTGAGAAAAGATGATGCCTGTATTTTGAAAAAAATTCTTTGCCTGATAGACTGGAGAATAAAAAGAAAAGAGCAAGAGAAGATGAAATGGACAGAAGGAATAACATGTGCAAAGGCACAGAGGCATAAAATATGTGGTTAATTTTAGTTATGAACATTGGACTCAGGTCTTCCCAAACTTCTCTGCAAACACATTCACAAAACATTTCTTAGGGTGAGTTACCTCTACAGATGGCTCATCGCATTTATTATGTCTTTATTTTTTATTTTTTTAATTCTGAGAACACCATTTGCCTGAGCCTGTTTTCTAGACAGTACCACTAGGTAATAATTGAAGTTGTTAAAATTACTATTCTGGAGAAATGTTCCTCAGTGCCAGTTCAAGGTCCTGCCCTTGACTCATCCTGCCATTGGGTACCTTCAGGTTCTTTCTCTTCTCTGGTAGGAGAGTTTTGAAGAAACATGGTGGAGTGAAAGACGTCCCCGGAGCTCTCCCCTTGAAACAACAATAAGCTGAATATCTCTTCTCTGGTATTCCTAATGTTTGTAAGATTGCCTTGTAAAAACTTGCTGGTTAGTTTTTAGGTTTTCATTTCTAGTTAAGAGCAGGTTTGTCAGTTTTCTACCTTCTGTCCTTATTCCCTAGCCTAAGGACAATGCTGCATTAATTTAGCTTGAGTCTTGTTTGTTTGGTTGATTTTTGTTCTAGTAGCCTCCTTGTTGATTAAACTAGTCTATGTATGAAGTTGCTGTCTGTGCCTTCATTTATTTCTTTCCTCTAGTGCAGAATACAGGCTCCATATTTTCTTAGGGGCTTTGCAAAAATGTAGCTTGGCCCAAGAGTTAAATGAAATTCTAATAGGTTTAACCAAGTACTGTTTCCCCCGAGACACTCATTGGCTATGAGTTCCACAGAGCCCTAAGCCAGGCACGATTTTACTGTCGTTTGGCTGGACAGAGCTGCAACAATCTGTTTGGCAACTCCTTTTAAAGCTGGATTGAGTTTTCTATAAGCCTTGAACTGTTCCAGATCCAAGCACCATCTAGAGTCACCTGCCAATGTGGTTTTCTCTCTGCTTCCATTGTACTTAACTCACACACCTCTGCTGTTACACGTATGACATGCTGTCAATTTTTGTTTCCTTTTCAGACTGTTCTGTCAGGTGTACATGTAGCCATCAACCAGAATGAATCATTTCCTCTTCCCTCTTACTTTTGGACTCAGTGCATCGTATTATTATCTCTAGCATCATCTACTACAGTGCCAAGTCCAATATTTATCTCATCTTATCAACTGAGTAGGCCAGGAGAGAGGAGGAGGGCTATGTCTCTTATAGGTGTGGTATATCATGATCTTTGGGTGAGGCAGTAGTGGCTGGCAGGACTGGTACATTGAATGTTAAGATAGATGTAGGGGCAGTATCAGAATCTACGTGAGCCATGAAATTTTTATGTTTATTGAAAGAGAGCTGCAGTTGTGTTTGTGTGTGTGAGAGAGAGAGTGGTTTAGTAGGGAGACAAATGTGTCAACGAAAATGTGCAAGTTGCTATAAAGTATACACAAGATTAGAAAGAAGTATAAAGCGGAGGGAGGATTAATTCCCCAGGTGGGGATCAGAAATAGTTTCACAGAGGAAATAATTGCTCTGGTTCTTAAGGGCAAAGAGTAGTTTACCAGACAAACCACCACACAGAAGGAAAAACTTTACCAAATCATGGCAATAGTATAACATTATAAATGTCACTCTCTCCTTACTCTACTCTCTAATACTGTTCTGAGTTTTTACATATAGTAGCTCATGTAATGTCAACAAACTTAAAGTTTATACATTATCAGTTAGACTCCACTGCTTATAATAAAGACCTAAAGTTAACAGTGGCTTAAATAATAGAGCACTTTCTTTTTCCAAAAAAAACTCAGGATCCCAAACTCATTTTAGCCAACTCCTCTAGAAGCTAGTTGTGGCCCTCATCCTCGTGGTTCAGGAGGTTGGCTAGAGTTCTAGCCATCATATCCACATTCCAGACAGGAGAGGGGACATAAGAAACTTAACATTGTTCTTTAATGTAGGTTCTTAGAAGTTTCCACATTCATCTCATTACCCCAATAGTCTTATAACCACAAACAGTTGTAAAGTACTCTGGGAAATACAGCCTTTATTCTGGGCTTCACTTCCCCACCTAAAACTTGAGCATTCTATAACTATGAGAAAGGAGAATGGGAGACAATTTGCAGTTTCTGTCACATACTCTTATCTCCATTTTTCAGTTAATGAAACCAATGCAGAGTAGTTGCATTCTTTTCATGGTGCATTCAGGGATTTCAATAAGTGTGTGTTTTTTTGTTTTTTGTTTTTTGTTTTTTTGGCTTATGCATAAAGTGTAGAGTGGAAAGATCAAAGGGTAATGGGCTACAAAATACTATGATTTTAATTTCAGGCACTTTACATGGTCAAGAAGCTAATGGACAGTGAAATGCACAAAACCCAGGCAGCACTAAAGTGTAGAAGACAATGTATGAGTAATCTCAAAGCTAGATAAATAAGAGTTGATTTGCAGGTCTGAGAGATAGATTTACTAATGGGTCAGTAACTGAATAGTAAATTGATTTAATATGACATTGCTGATTGCAGTAGTAGATTACATAAAATATGCCAAAAGGACAACAAAAATCATGACACATTTTTCAGTTTCTCCTTTTATTTTTTTAAATATCTACCTCTTCTCTAAACGACAATCCAATAAAGGTGGAATATTTTGGATTTACTGAGTACTGATTAACGTAAAACAATGCAAGTTAACTATTACCTCACAAATATATTATTTAATTCAATGTTAAAATGAAAAACATTTTGAAGTAACATATACATAATTGCAATCAAGTAATACCTGTAGGACAACTATTCATTAACCCAACCTACATTTTGTACCCTTCTCCGAACCCATGTGCTTCAGAGGAGCATGTTATCTCCAGCCCCACAAGCAGTGAATCATGATTGGGCCAATTGGTGGTAATCACATCTCTCTTGCTTGTGACTATTTTGGGCAAAGAATCACAGGCAAAGTAACAACCCTCTTCCCAATGGACACTGGTAAATGTGGATTTGATCATTGGTCCACTGTAGTCATCTTGTGTACTTGAAGTTGACAAGATGAAAATTGACAGAGCAGAAAAATGGAAAGAATTTGCATTCTTGTTAACAACCAAACCCTGGAAATTTGTGCTTCTGAACTTATGTGAGGTAATATGTTCCTTATTTGGTTAATTTGAATTAGCTGTTATTTGCAGCCAAAGTACCCCAATATTTGATTACAAGGTATATGTACATATAACAAAAATTAAAGAACAATAAAAACAGCACTCCCCTATCCCTCTTCTGCCTTTCTTCTCTAGAGGGAACCACTGTCAACTCTTAGCTGTTTTGCAGGTGATTTACTTACATGATTCTAAATAATATACTTATACTGCTATTCTCTTGATTTATCCATAGGAAGAATGTTGACTTTCTACTACGAAGAGAAAGACCAAGCATTTGCACACCCCTTCCTTCCTCTTCTCTTCCCTACTCCCAATATAGTTTTACAAAGTTTTTGATTAAACCAATATTGTGCTTACATTATTCTGACTACATTAATATTATTCACTACTGGGTCAAGTAGTGTATTATTATTCTATTTATTTTCTTATACAATCTTTTTTCCCCTTGGAGTTAAAAATTATGCCCCACTCTTCCTTTGCATGGTTTTCCATGTGCCTATTAGTTCTCAAACTCTCCAACAGTTGCAATACCCTTTCAAAGTGATCTTTTCTTTCCTATTATTTTTGTCGTCTTTCCTCCCTTCCTTCTTTTTATTTCCAAACCCATTTCCATTCCCTTCTAAAGTTATTCTATTGATAACTTAATGTTTATATTTTTCATAAATAGGCGAAACCTTACATTTTTCTATATCAATTAAGATGACTTTTCCCTTTTAGTCCATTACTGTAACAGGTTTTCTGATGTAGAGGCATATGAATAGTATTCCTGAGATAAATCTTATTTGGTCACTTTTTTCCTTTTGAATACACCATTAGATTTGGTTAGCTAATATTTTTAACTATGAATATATATTCATAAACAAAATAGACCTAACTTTTTTCTTATCATCTGGTTTTGGAATCAACATTACATTAGCCTCAAGTTCCATTCTGTAAACAATTAAGACTGCTGCCCTGGCTTTTTGGTTCATATTTGGTATATATATTTAATAGCTTTATTCAGATATAATTCACATACCATACAATTTATCTATTTAAAGTGTATAATTCAATAGTTTTTAATATACACACAAAGTTGTGCAACCATAATCACAATTTTAGAGCATTTTCATTACCTCCAAAAGAAATCTCATATCATTTAGCTATCATCCACCAACCTCCCCTTCCACTCTCACCTCCCAGCCCTAGGCTACCAGTTACATTTTCTTTACAGATTTGACTATTCAGGACATTTAACTTAAATGGAATCATGTAATATGTAGTCTTTTGTAGCTATTTTTACTTGGCATGTTTTCAAGACTCATCCAAGTTGTAGTATGTATTAGTACTTTATTCCCTTTTGGCTGAATAATATTCTTTTGTAATGGACATAACATATTCTACTCATTCATTAATTGATGAACACTTGGGTGGTTTCCACCTTTTTTTGGCTATTAGGAATAATGCTATGAACATTCATGTACAATATTTTGTGTGTCATATTTTCAATTCTCTTCAGCATATACCTAGGGGTGAAATGCTGGGTCGACCCTGTTTGAGGAATTGCCAAACTATAGCTATGCCATTTTACATTCCCATCAGCAGTGTACGAAGCTTTCAAATTCTCCTCATCAACACGTTTTTGAAAGGTGTGAAATGGCATCTCACTGTGGTTTCGATTGGCATTTCTGTAATGACTAATGATGCTTTTCATGTGTTTATTGACCATGTGTATATCTTCTTTGGAAAAATGTCTATTCAGACTCTTTGACTACTTAAAAATTGGGTTGTGTTTTTATTATTGAATGGTAAGAGGTAAATGTATGTTCTGGATACAAGTTCTTGTCTACTATTTGCAAACATTTTCTCTCATTCTGTGGGCTGGTATACCTTTTCTCCTTTTAATTTTTAACCTATGTGTTTAAGTAAATCTTGGGTTTTACTTTTTAACCTTTTAAAATTTTCAATACGAGGATCTCTTTTCATTGGTGAGTTTAATCCACTTATACCATTTTCCATATGGTTTAATGCACTGGGTAACCTGTCAGTTCATTTTTCTCCCTGGATGTCTCCTTCTTGATACCTCTTCTTGTTCCAATCTGGACTAAATATTGTAATCCTGCCAGTATGCTAGGCTGGTGACCTGATTCCTGATATCTTGTCTTCCTTAATTTAGTCCTTTATTTTTTGTGGAGTACATCCTCCAGTAACCTTTTTAAAAGCTGCATGGAAAGTGAAGTTTGACATCTTGCATGCCTGAAAATGTTAACTTCACATTTGAGAGCAGTTCGACCTGTCATGGAATTATAGATTGGAAAAGTAAGTATCTCCTGAAACGCACATCTTTTATTTCTGGTTCAGCTTATAAGTTTTGTTAGCGATGAATAATCCGTAATAAATTTGGCCCAAAGAAATTTGGTTCCTGTTTCAGAGAGCAAGCAGCAAGGGATGTTTCACAAAATTTGGCTTAATGAGAGTATAAATTCAGATAGCAGGAATTTGTCCTCAGAATTTTGAAGGCATTGATCTGCTATTGTCATCCAGATTTGCTAATGAGGAGTCTACTACAGATGTTATTCCTGTTCCTAAGTGATTGTTTTTCCCCATTTCCTTGGAAACTTTTAAGATTTTCTCTATTTTTGGAGTTCTGAAACTTCATAGTAGTATGCCTTAGTGTAGGTTTTATCATTCAATACAGTTGAGACTATGTTGGGCCTTTCAATCTGAAGACAGAAGTTCTGGAAGAGCCTCTTACATTATTTCATTTTACTAATCCCTCTGCTCTCTCTTAAAATTTTTCTTTCACCTTGTAAAACTATTAGTCTGATATATTAGGACCCTAAATTTATCTTCTGTGTTTTTTATCTTTTCTCTCACTTTCTGGCTCTTCAAGTTCTACTTTCAAAAATATTTCTTCACCTGCATTTTCCAACTCCATTAACTACTTTTGAATTGTAAGTATTTTTAAAAGCTCTATTGTTCTGATATTCCTCCTTCACTTCATGTTATTTTATAAATGCAATTTCTCTAAGTCTTTTTAACCAGATTTTCCTAAGTAGTCAGCATTGTCTCATATCCTAAAATATCTTGAAAACTTGGTTTCTCATTTTTACATAGTCCTCTATCAAAAGATTAAAATGTATGAAAAATTTTAAGCAGCATGTGACATTATCAAATTTATGTTTTTGCTGTTCAGTCTAGATGTGGTGGGAAGAATGAATTGGAGATTAGAGACAGGGTCTGTAATCTAGGTGAGAAATGATGAGTCTAAGGCAGTAGTGGTAAAGGTGAAAGGACAACAGATTTTAGGAGGTAGAACGGCATAGGAATTGGTGATTGACTAGCTAGGAGAAAAGGAAAAAGTCCATAATTATCCTCAGGTTTATGGTATGGACAAGAACAACAGTTGAATTTCTCAGAAAAAGAATTATAAATTTTGAATATGTTTGAGACTTACCTATTGTTCAGTCTTGTGAGTTAAGCTAGATCAGTCTAAATATAAGCTGCATTGTTCTACAGAAAAAATAAAAATTTCCCACTGTATTACAGTCTCAGAGATAAGTCATTATTATTCACAATTAAGGAGAAATGTAAAAGGTTCTAAAGTAACGTTTGTTTTTCATGACATTTCTAATGCAAAAGATAAAAAGATATTTTTATTTTTAATTAAGCATAAGAAAAGATGACAAACCTTTAGAGGGACTGATTTTAAGATTTTTTTGGAGAAGCGTTTAAAAGGAAAAATAAAAAAATTAGCAGTATGAACTATAGAAATGTCCAATCAATGTACTGTATACTTGAAATTAATTTAAATAAATAAATTTTAAAAAGTTAGCAGTAAACAAAAATTCAAGTTTAAAATTATGAATGAAACACTATGGAAGAAAATTTTATCACAAAATATTAGGATATTTTTAAATAAAGTCATTCTGCTATTATACTTTCATATTCACTTTGAGTCTCAAAATGAAATTTTTAAAAATTTATTTTCAAATTACAGTTGACATACAATATTAGTTTCAGAGGTACAATATAGTGATTAGACATTTATATATCTTGTGAAGTGATTACCCCAATAAGTCTAATACCCATCTGACACCATACTCAAAAGGAATTTTTCATGGTAATTTCTTTGTCATCAGTGAAACACCTGTTTACTATTTAACCAAGAAGACTGAAGTAAAGGTGCAAATATTTACTAAACATACTTTATTATTAGATTCAAGTCATTTTATTTCTAAAAAAGTTTAGTTCATTTAGACTCAGAATATTTATATTTAAATACTCCAATGTAATCTATGTATATTAAGCAAGTAGGAGCTCCTCAAATGAAGAAAAAAGTTTCATTTGGTTTTATAAGTAATAGATGATTTAAAATGTTAAAAAATTGAGCTTAAAAAACATAGCCCAAACCACCTGTTTTTTTAAGTTGCACCAGCCATCTACGTCTAAAAAGTCCTTATCGAAGCTATTTCTTTAAACTCAACATTTACTAACTCAACAGATGGGTTTTAAAAATGAATAATGTAATTTTACTTTCAACTCACTGATTATATACTCAATTGGCGGCTTTAAAAAATAATTTTAGAATATGTGAAGACTCAAATTAAATCATTCTCAACATTTTCCCAGGACTGTTTGCTAACTGGCTTGTTTTCACATATGAACTTTAAACGTGTCTTCCACAGGTGGTACATAAAAATAATTATTTGCAACTATAAAATCTATCAAGTAAATTCCCAATGTAACATCACAGCTTTTTCTTTCTCTTATAAGAATCACTACTGTGAACTCGAACTCGCTGGTACACAGAAGATGCTATTTTCATGCTGTCTTTCTTCGTAAATGTCTTCTCTATTGCTCCAGGTTTCCAAAGTAATAACTGTGCATCTTCTCCTCCAGTTAGCAAAGAATCATCCTGCATATTCCAACAGAAAGAACGGACTGTAGCAGAATGTCCTCCCTGCAGGCTGGTCACATGGATCAATCCTGATGTAGTACAGCTCATTATGTGAATAATTCCTGTGTTTGTTCCTCCAATGACAAACAGCTTGTTCATCTTTTCATGATATAGGCCACCAATCAAATAGTCCAAAATACCTCCTTTCACATCAATTACTTCTCTGACATCTTGGATGTTCAAACACGTAATTGGTTCATCAGTATTCAGATGATTAAGATCCCACCAACAAAATCCTTCATCATGTGTCATGCAGTATATCTGCTTATAGTCTTTCCCAGACCACCCAATATAGCTTACTGATGAAACCGAGTTACAAGTTGTAACCAGTGCATCTTCTTCATTATCAACACTAATATCAAATACATTTACCAGGCCATCGGTTGAACCTGAGACTACCATGTTGGGATTGCTGGGATGGA